AATGATTATCCAAGTGGTACAGAGTATGTGTTTGATTTATCATTACATGCCTAGGGTTACAAGTTCAGTTACAAGTAGAAAATACAAACAGAACAGCTTTTATTATTTATTATTTTTATTGGCTCTATAACTCCAACTTAAAAACCTAAAGAATGTCTTCTCCAAAGCGAACTTGTTTAATACAGTACAGCCTGATTTTAGGCTGGGAATGTTTGTAGTCCGAGAGCACTCCAGAAAACAGAAAATACCTGAACTAGTCTTTTATGAGTAGCAAATGCTAATACCTAAAACTTTTTATCTAAGTTTTATAATCTACACAAAAAGCTTATTTTAATCAACCTATCTTATTTACTGAGTTTCATTTCTTCAGTGTGCAAGCTGTATGAATCCCTGTCTTTAAACTACATTTGTAGAGATGTCTACAAATATTATTGTATATTAAAAAGAGGTCTTAAATCTGTAACATATTTCCTGGCTGGTCAGTGCTTGTAAATTTTCTGTATACCCTGTGCCAACTATACTGTTTTGGTTTGCTCAGGAGCAGATATCCTAAGTAGATTCCTGGAGTAATGACCGCACAAAGCTATGCACTTATCTATGCTTAATAGTCTCCAGGATATTAGGACGACTTTCAAATAGTGGTCACATAAGGTTAATTTTAGGATTTTCTTAAAAGACTCAGGAACAATTCTTCTCAGGAAAAGACATAAAATGAAACATAATGCTGAAAATCCCTAAGAATGCAAAATGCAGAAACAACCCAAAAGTTAGAGATAGAAAGACAGTGATTGCACCAATCTGCTCTGCTTAGTTAGAACTGTGTCAAGTAGTTGTGCAGGTTTCATGATTCTTGCAAATTACAGTGAAGTGCTGTGCCAGATTTTGTTCATATATTACAGAAAGTTTTCATTGCTCTAGTTTTCCTTGCCATATCATTCCTCAAATGCCCCAGTTCCAGCTGTCTTTCTTGCATTCACTTCCTCAACCCTATACCCCTTGCATTTCCCCATTTGACCCTCCTGTTTTTGTCTTCATTATGATGTTTTTATTTCAACAATCTATAAATGTCATCCAGAACAAGAAATTCTGAGAGGCATCAATATGGAATAGTGATCAAGGCTGGGTGCTTAAACTAGTGAAAGAACTTGTTGATTAAGGACAACATCCAAAGTGATGGTCCCAAAGTTGATGTTGGACTCTTTTGGCCCCATCACATTGAGTGGGTCATTCCAGTGGGTTTTCTTAGTCCTCCAACTTGTACTTGTTTCATTCTTCTAGTGGCTGTAAATAAGAACTGAAGATCCACACTATTATCACAAGATATATTGCTAGCAATGCTCTTGAAATGGTTACATAATACACCCTAGGTTACATATTAAAATATTAAACTCAAAGCTTTTAAATTAAAAACATTTTTAGAGGCAAAATAAGCTGGAGAGGACAGGAACTCCACAAGGAGAGCAACAGAACAAGATAATTTGAACACAGGGAACTTCCCAGAGACTCATACTCCAACCAAGGACTATCCGTGGAGATAACCTAGAACCCTGACAATGCAGCCACTTCTGATGAGAACTGATAGACTAAGATCAGAAAGAAGGAGAGGAGGACCTCCCCTATCAGTGGACTTGGGGAGGGGCATGCATGCAGAAAGGGGGGGAGGGAGGGACCGGGAGGGGAGGAGGGAGGGGCTTATGGGGGAATACAAAATGAATTAATTAATAATAATAAAAAAAGAATTAACTGAAAAAATTTAGGGATTTTTACCAAAAAAATTACAGATACACACATGTCAGTTAACACAAAGGTTTAAAACATTATAGTTTAGGAGAGTTGAACTTTTAGTTAGATGTGAGCTTATTAACTCTATATACTTTATTCATTATTTTGAAATTCTGTAGGATATTATTTTTAGTAAGTAAAGAAAATCTTTGGCAAAGAATATAAAGAAAGTTCTTCGTATAAACCAGTGTTCCTCAACCTTCCTAATACTGCAACCCTTTAAATAGAGTTCCTCAGATTGTGGTGACTTCGAACCAAAGCATTATTTCATTGATACTTCATTACTGTAATTTGCCTATTGTTATGAATCAGAATGTAAATACCTGATAATTCAGAGGGTCTTAGGCAACCCTTTTGAAAGTCTGTTGACCTCAAAGTGGTTGGGACCCATAGGTTGAAAACCTCTTAAATAAAGCAGTTATTGTTAATCAGAATCTTTTAGGAAAGCAATATCTTTTGCTACTTTTCCTTCAAAAATTATTCTTTGTCTACTATTTCTTGTCAAATGTATTGGGTAGACATTGCTACTCATGCAGAGAATAAAAGATTTTAAGTGCTAGAACAGAAAAGTTGAGTTCAGGTTTGTACAATACAAGGATAATTTGCACCTCAGGCAGATATTCCCTGGTCCTCCATCCACAGTGGTGTCCATTGAAGAGGGTGCTGTGTCCCAGGAATTGAAGGCCATCAGCTTCAGATTTCCTGTTTACAAGGGTGGAGGCATATTAATCAGTATTTTGTTACGCCAGCAGGGTTATAATCCAGTTTTAATCAATTTCAACATAATCTAATGCACCAGGACATATTGTGGATACTTGATGTGTGACTGAGGATGGTTGGAATCTTTATATTATGTATAATATAACTTGTAACTTTTTATCTCTTTAGAGGGCATGCTCTCCCCTTGGATACTGTGAGAAGCCAATGGAGATGGCCATTGTAAGATGCCTATCTCCATTTGTGCAATCTGAGGGAGCAGCTATAAATGTCATGAGAGCACAGTCTGTGCTCATTGCTGATCACAATAGAAGTATAAAATTTCGTTAAGATCAAAGGCATATGACAACTTGATAGACACTGACAGGAGCAGAGCTCCTTGTCGGTCATGTTCTTGACCTTGAGGTTTGGAACTTCTTGTATCCATATATGGTCTACCTCTCTCATATGGTGTTGTCTTAGCAGTTTACAGAAAAGACCTGCATGTTCTTGTCAGAAATTATTTAATGTTTTATACCTGAAAAGTAGATATACAAAATTATATATTTAAAATAGAAGGATATGCATATCAGATAAGTGAATATTTATTTTTCAATAATATTTGTGCCTTCATGGTGAAACATTAACATCAGATAAGTAATTTGCTTTGGGTAGATAATGCCATGAGCTGCCTTTTAACCAATGGATTTATGATAAACATTTATGAGAGACTGTATGAATAGATTAGATTGGCCTAGAAGTTGGCATGTACCCCAGGCTGGCCTCAAATTCATGAGTCTCCTGCTTTTGTCTTTCAAGTTCTGGGAGTACAGATGTGAGTCTCCACTCCTTGCCATGATACTTCATGTATTTACTTTTCTCTTATACTTTACACATACTTTACTTATTGTATATATTTTCATATTTCAATAATATGAAGTCCTACAATGTTCTGTGAGTTATCTTATTGCTATTGATATTCATTCAAAGTCAAACTTCTTTCTTTTTTCACCCTTTGGATAGCAACAATCGCTGAAGTAGTGTTCTGTTGGTCTCTATAAAATCATTAAGTAGATTAGGGTGGCTGTTCCCCTTTCTGGAGAGATTTACCTGTTCACGATGTCAGAAGCATGTCTTAATCCAGTTTCAATATTGTTAATTTCTAAATTACACTAGCATTTGTATTTCTTGAATAAAAACTCATGGTAGTGTTGGTCTACAGGAAAGAATTCATGAAAAAATCTTTGCTCCTCTTTTATTTCTCCAAATAGATCCCTCTTTTAATTTCCTGAAGTTGTGGGGAGAATATGTGTTAGTTTTTGCTGTTTATTCTTTGCTTTGAGATTAAAGTTCTTCTGATCTCAGTCTTTTTTTTTTTTTTTCAATTTGGAAATTTTACTTTTTATTTCAAGAATTAAATGTCGGACAGTTCCAGGCTGGATAACAAAAATGCAATGACTACTCAACAACAAGTTTATGCTAACCTAAAATTTCAAGATGTGCATAAGTGAAGAAGAAGGCAACATATCCACAACACACATGTTAAAATATAAAACAAAATGGTTGACATATATTAATTCTCAACTTTCGCCCAAACCCTTGAGGATCCTAAAAATGACTTGGAGTTGTGCCCAATTACTGTGTTACATACTACTGCCAAAATTCAGATCTTTGCCCCAGGGACATTAATTTAGATTACAGGATACACGGAGTAAAACTGGAGATGCCATGCCGTGTTTTACCCTTTCAAAAGGTTTTTTTTTTTTTAAACAGAATTTGAGCTGGGCAAAGTATCACGAGCCGATAAGCCCACCCCTTGGGTGGGAAGGGCAGGATGATCAAGAGTTAAAGGCCAGCCTCAACTATGAGGGAGTTTGAGGCCATTCTGATCTCAGTCTTAAATTAATGTATGCCAGGATATCCTCAGAGTGAATTCTAGGTTGCTCTTTGCATTTCAATCCCTTGTTTATCTAACAAACTAGAGCCCAAATATCTAAGACCTTACTTTCTGTCTTCAGTATGAGAGGGGCTTTGGAGATGATTAATATTGAACACATTTAGATTCAATTGTCTTTTTTCCTTTCATCTTTTTTTCCCTCAACCTTTTCTTTCTTTTATTGCATGCTGTGTTACTCTGTTGTTGTTGTTGTTGTGGTGGTGGTGGTGGTGGTGGTTTTTGAACATATTCTACTAGCTCCCTAGGACTGCCAATGTGAGATAGCTTTACTAATGTTTCTACAGAAGTCAATTGATTTAAATGTCTTGGATTTTAACCCAGATCTGCTGTTAGATACCTAGGACTTTTCTGTTTGAGAGCTGTAAGGCAATCGTTTTCAGTGATTGTTCATGCTCCCTGTAATAGTATTTTTGGCTATTGATTGACACCAGCTACACTCACAGACACTGCATAGGCATTTGCTTATGTATTTCCTGACTGCTTTGCATGGGCTCCTACAGCCCAGCCCAGCTGCTGAGAATATATAAACCAGTCTTTGCAGTGAGAACTGAACTGCATCAGACAGCAGGGAGATCAAGATGAAGTCACAGACCCAGGTCTTCTTAACCTTGCTGCTTTGGGTGTCTGGTGAGAAATTAAAAATATTATAATCATTGCAGAGCAACTTTTTTGTAAATAAGAAACTTAGAGTGTGCCAGGCTCAATATTTCTTAGATGATAAGACTATGACAACATGAAAGTACAAAGATACTAAATGACAAATTTCCAATGTTTTTACATTCTGTGTTTGTGTCTATGTGCATGTTTATTGCATGTTCCTAATTGCAGGTGCCTGGGCAGACATCGTGATGACCCAGTCTCCATCCTCCCTGGCTGTGTCAGAGGGAGAGAAAGTCACCATCAGCTGCAGGTCCAGTCAGAGTCTTTTAGACAGTGGCAACCAAAAGAACTACTTGGCCTGGTACCAGCAGAAACCAGGGCAATCCCCTAAGAGGCTGATCTACTATGCATCCACGAGGCACACCGGGGTCCCTGATCGCTTCACAGGCACTGGATCTGGGACAGATTTCACTCTCACCATCAGCAGTGTGCAGAATGAAGACCTGGCAGATTACTACTGTCAGCAGCATCTCAGTGCTCCTCCCACAGTGCTTCAGCCTCCAACAAAAACCTACGTGTGAGTCTCACCAGCTGCCATCACCACACACAGCCCTGGGCCTGTCTACTTCCCCTTTCTGTCTGATAGCATGTTTGCCTGAGATTGTCTGATAGCACGTTTGCCTGAGAAAGTGATGAATAGTTTGCAGTGCTGATTACAACATTACGGGTTCAATGTCTCATATCTTTTGGTATGAAAATCATTTACATGAAAATGCGGGAAAAAAAAGAACTAAAGCTTATCATTCTTTTTCTTCTGTAGAACTTGAGTGTCAAAAAGGAGACCATTAGTTTACTGCAAGAAATCTGGAAGCTGATGTAGATGTTTTTAAACATCAAACTGCTGTTGGAACACAACAAGTATGACAAAGATGATCAGGATATCTAGTCTATAGAATTCCTTGGAGAGCAGGCAAAAACAAAGTGGGCAATACTTGACAAAGAACAAGGAGAGAGAGAGAGAGAGAGAGAGAGAGAGAGAGAGAGAGAGAGAAAGAAGACCTTTTGTGGGGAAGCCCCAGAAGAAGAATGAGGCTGTTCAAGCAGAACCCCAGGAGCAGAGAGGAAACATCTGCCAAAAGACTGAGGAGAGATGTTTTGCACTCAAATAGAGGAAATGCCAGCTCCTGCCCTAGAAACCTATACGACAAACTCTTCCAGCTGCATGTCTTTACTGAGTCCCACATTTCAGAGGTTTTATAAGAAAACTTCATATTGATAAGTGAACTAGGGGGAATGATTTTAGGGAAAAATAAGCTGAAGATGTATTTTTAAGCATCAATATACCAACTGAAAACTCGACAGAAGCATCAATAATTACACATTGTGCCCCTCAAAACAAATGCATCTCATCTGAAGGAAATACAGGAATCCCTTTTCCAAAGCTCGGGAAAAATTTATTTTCTAAAATGGCCAAATTGAATTGCAAAATCATACCTCATGAAGTACTTATAAAACCTTTCCACTGAGGCTATTTTTTTAGGGTAGGGGCAGCTGAGGTCCTCTAAGGTTTGTCACAGAAGCATTCTATGTCCATTTCGCAACTATAAGTCAGTTGAACGCTGATTATGGACTTCTATGTGGTTTCTGGTGACAGTATGGACAATGAACATCCACATGAAATCTTGGGTCAGTCCATGCCATGGGCCTCAGAATGGTCTCCTGTACAGAGCAGAGACACCAGCAAAGCCTCTGCCACAGCCAGGGGCCACAGACACCATCAGGGCCCTTGGCAGCAGCACAGTCCAAGAACATCAGCATGGCCTCAGCTGGCAGTGTAGACCACTCACATCAATTTATGGACAGTCTGTGGATTCAGGCAGAGGATCATCTGCATGATCTTCTGATGCAAAATCCCCAAATGATCAAGAAAAATACTAAGGGAAAAAAACCTCCCAAGATCAAGTTAATGAGCTGAAGGGTAAACAATAATCCTTTCCAGTTTAATTGAGTTCAAAAGGAAATCCTACAGAAGCAGATCACAAAACTCTTGGAAGAATGGAAAGAAGAAGGAACAAAACAACATGCCTCCCCCCCCCCAAAAAAAAAACATATAATTTATATGAGCTTAAAAAGGAAAATTATGCAGGTGAAAATATGAAGTATACATGAGCAGAGATAAAGACAGACAGAGTGTGTGTGTGAGAGAGAGAAAGAGAATTCCAGGAAATTATTGAGCAAACATTCCAAGTAGTAGAACCTAAGCAAAACAAAAAAGTTGAGAAATGGAAGAGCCTTGTGCAGTTAAAGAATTGGGAGTAGGACAAGTTTTGCACATCATTAGACTTCACACTAGACGTTCTGCTGTAGATGCACTGACAGGTAGCATTGCCAGTTGCTCTTGCGGATGAAGGGAAAACATCAGAATTTTCGTCCAAACTAGGATCTGAGTGACCTCATTGGAAAACATGCCATTGTCAGACACTTTTGAAACATAAGGCTCCACCACACAGTTCTGTGCGAACACCACTGGAGTAACATGCTGGAATAAGCTGCCCTGAACCAACAAGGAAGATAACAAACATTGTGCTGTATTTACCTAATCACATTTGAGATGACTTTTGAGCAGGCTCCATAATATCAGAAGACCATGACTAGCAGGGTTTGCTGCAAAAGGGCTGGCTCCTAGCAAAAGAAGAGAGGTTCTCATCCTCAGACACACTTTATGGATTATGTGTCCTTTTCATTTCCTATTTGACAGAAAATCAGTTCCTTTTTGTGACATTGTTGGAGACATGTAAGTCTCATGTTGGGTACACTCTCATCAACTGTGAGCTTAACTTCAGAGTAATTTACATGACACTGGTAACTTCTGTACAGGGAAACTGCACGTTCTACTGGGCTTATGGACCTCATATAAAATGACAGCAATGATGTAGTTTAAGGTATCTGGTACGGTAGGCCAGCATGAGAGTCAGAATATTTGGCATCTTCTAGGGAATAAACAATGAAAGAAGTTTACTTTTTCTGTTGAAAAAGCAATATTATGTCCATTAGAAAAAGTAAAAATATGCATAAAAATAGCTGATTTAATTTTACAATCCCAGTTTTAAGAATAGATCACAAATGTGAGATATAAAGCTACAGCCAGTTGATTTTTAAGTTTCTCTCCCAATATGTCTTACAGCTCCTTTCTGTAGAGTGTTCTGTCCATGAAGACACACATGTGGTCTGCACTGAGTGCTCCTGGTCATCCATGTGGAAGAGCCAGGTGATGTGAGGAGACCTGGTTGCTCTTAGAAGCATGATAAGAGCTGCATAGGACATTGTAATTTGTAGCTGAATTAAAATGTAATAAAAACATAACTAAATCTTTAGGATTTATGTTATGCTAAAAGCACATTTTGATATAAACTGCATTTTAATTTCCTGTGCCAAGGAATGCAATTCTGAGACTCAGGACAAGTGGCTAGGGAAGTGTACCCTGTGAGAATGGTCCAGGTTATAGATTCTGAGAAAATAGCTGGGACTGCATAGGAGTTGCTGGAGTAGTCTGTGGTTGATTTGAAATCTCCTGGAACAAAGTTAAGCAGTTTAGAAAACAAAATTCTATCTTAGTTTAACATTTGAAACTGTTAGGTTCATGGTCCTGGTAGTAGGAAAGAGGAGTGTTAAGCCCAGGAAAAGGAGGAGAGATCCCACCTTTCAGAGAAGACAATAGGCAGGATAATTTAGGCTGTTGACTGTCAGGAGTACTTATCTGAAATCACTTTCATAGTTCTTAAGAGGAGCCAGGAAAATTTAGTTTGACTATAAAATGTTAATTTGGGAGCAACTGTAATCTGAAAGCAGGGTCTGGTTGTGTTGGGGAGAATATAATTTGAGAAGCTCTGGTTGTGTCAAAATAGTCTTTTTGTGGGGGGGGGTTCAGGTAGGTTCTTAAATTGAGATATTTTAAGACCATTGGAGACTAGGGAGTGTCTTGACAGACAGTAAGAAGGTAAGAGGAAAGGTCTGTAAGAGTTTATGGGAGGTTGGTGTAGATAGGTTGAGAGCACTTGGTTTTTTTTTTTGTTTTGTTTTGTTTTGTTTTTTTCCAAAGGGGGACTTACATGGTCAAGGATGCAAGTGAGGATAGGGCATTGGCAGTGAGAGCAACTGTGACTAACCAATGAATATGAAGAAAAGGCAGGAAGAAATGAGTGAGAGACATTTAAGGAGTTCTCAGAGCAGTTGAGGAGAGAGTTGGTGGATGACCTTCACCCAAGTGAGGATTTAATTATGAATGTGGGGGTGGAGAGAGACAAAAACAGAGACAGGGACACAGAGAAACAGAGACAGGAGATGGTTTGGATTTGGTTACATCTTTAATTGGGTGTGTAGAATATATGATTTGTTTAGCATGTTTGATGTTTGAGAACATCTAAACAGTTAATTTAGGGGAGTCAGTTTTCAGTAGATGTTTGGCACTCACTTGGGCAGAGAAAAAGTAAGAGTGTAAAAAGAAAAATGAGGTTTGTGAGGAATGGGTGAATTGAAGAGCACTGGAGCTAGAAGTTGAAGAGGAATAATACTAATGGAGGGGTCAGTCTGATGTGTCTGTTTGACAGGAAGGAGCTGACATCCATATAAAAATTGTAGCAGAAGTACCTAGAAGACCATCTTGTGTGTGAAAGGGATGTGACAGGAGCTCCTTAAATACTGTTGGTCAGGGGTGTAGAGGTTCTGGGAAATGCTGAGGAAAAGAGATTAAGTGTGGAGCAATTAGGATGACAATAGGAAAAGAATATGACTGGTGAATCTCTGATAAGAGAAGTTTGGAGAGATGAAATCTGAGAAGGTGGAAGGGGCAGTGGAGTCCTTTGTATAAATTAGGAGTTGAGGGGAGACTGTGCTGAGAATAGATTAAGAGAGGAGACCCTGGAGCTTCTGTCTTTACCCTCACCTTGAGCAGCTGTGGGGGGTGGGATACCAATAGGGAACCATAGCTATTTGCTAGATTTAGAGGTAAGCATAGAAGCTGTGGCAAGTGTTGTAGACAAAAAGATCATCTATTGACTGTGTTGTTTAGAATTTTGGAGAGATAAGTGAGAGGCCAAAGAGCAGTGTTTGTGTATTTTGGAAGTCTAAGGATGGAAAGGTTTTTATATATCTGAGATGCAGAAGGCTGGAGAAGAAAAGAGAATGTTTTGTGCTTGAGGAATTGTTTGTGGATGGGAGGTAAGTGGCAGTACAGAAGTAACATGATACTGGGAATATATCAGGAGTATGTAGGGAACTATGGTGGAGAAGGCTGGCTGAGACTGTAGAGATGGAGAGTGGAAGTGGGCAGGATGCTCTTAAACTGAGGTGTCTGTAGGTACTGTGAGAGAGAATCCAAGATAGGTGACTCGGAGAAAGGAGAGTTGTGTTTTGGAAGGTGAGAGCCAGAAATCTCTGGAAATGAGTTAATTGATGAGTGAGGTCAGATTGGCTATTAGAGAGACAATAACTGTAAAGGAGGAGGTTATCTACATACTGAAGCATGTGGGAGGAAAACGGAGAAGCTGGACAAGTCCATAGTAATGCTTGACCAAAAGGATGG